TATAATATATATAATAATAAATAATATAATATATATAATAATAAATAATATAACTATAAAAAATCAAAATGTTGAATATATAGAGTTAATATTATCTTTAAATTTACGTTAGGTATCTTTAAGCCTTTTTTTGTTATTCAGGTATAACGTATTTCCAAAAACTTGTAAATATTTAGTCATTGATCTACAAAATTTAATTTATCCTTAAACAAAAAGTTAAACACATGTGAAACATACGTTAATCAGATGTTAACAAAAACCAAAATGAGAAAACTTCTTTTACATATAAACTATTGTTTATGTGATTCATTTACAAGTTTTAAAGAAATGAAATATAAATCTTTTTTTTCTTTCTTTCTCTCTCTGTTTGGACATAAGGAACAAGAATTCCATTAGTAACAAGGGGGAACTTCTAAACATTGGTTTATGAAGTATTTAAGTTCACATATTTAGTATTTTATAGGGATTACTGTTAATTTTTACGCGTACCAAATGCATTATGTTACAGAGCTTGTCGCTAGTTTCACATCCGTGAAAACTGTGTCACTTCCCCTGCATTATGTTACAGAGCTTGTCGCTAGTTTCACATCCGTGAAAATTGTGTCACTTCCCCTGCATTATGTTACAGAGCTTATCGCTAGTTTCACATCCGTGAAAATTGTGTCACTTCCCCTAACAGAAAATATTAAGATTCTATAAAATGAAATATTTCAGATGATGGTAAGATTTAAAACCCTGGAAAACATCTTTCACGCAATGTTCCTCAAGGGACAATAATCGTGTTAACTTACTTTCCCCATTCATTCTTTTTAAAAGGCAGGAGCATTTGAACGACCCAGCAAAACCTAGTATTAACCAGTTAATATGTTGTTGTTAAAGGCTCATACTAAACTAAGTACCATAAGCACCTAACACTGACTGAAAGGAGAACGTGCCCTCCTTTTTTCCCAGTTAGTGTTCATACACTATTATTAACAACTGTGTTATAGTGACTTAACTTTTTTTTTTGCCTCCCCCTCCCACTTTCCATCATGTTTGCATCACTCGAATTTCAACGTCACGAAAAGCACCGAACAGATATTCCAAACATCCATATTCCAGCCAATCTAAACAATAATACTTTGATGTTGAAGGTCAGTGTGAGATCGTGTTCCTGATTAGTGTCAAGCTCGGCAGAAAATCTTTGATGATATGCAGACATCTCAAAAACATTGTTTACTTTTTCTGTGGTTCATCATTAACGCATGGAATGTGCCGTATTTTTCGGTGTATAAGACGCACTTTTTTACCATAAGCACCTAACACTGAGTGAAAGGGGAATGTGCCCTCCATTTTTCCCAGTTAGTGTTCATACACTATTATTAACAACTCTGTTACATTGACTTTTTGCCCCCCCCCTCCACACTCCCCCACTTTCCAACAAACTTTAGCCCTGATGCGAGCCTTCACGCAACGACCTCATGAAGGTAAAGTTTTTAACCGCGGCATAGCAGCTCATAGAATGGTTCGGAGTATATTTTGAAAAACATACTTTAACTCGTAGCTCCATCTCTTGACCGATTTGAGAGTTAATTACAGCTGTGGTTGTTGAGGATTCCCTTTTTTTCCCCTCAAAATAAACATCTGTAACATTTAAAACAGTACTGTCTCTAAAATGGGCTCATTAATTGAAAATAACTCGTGAATCGTGAATGACAATAACTTTAAGGTCACTGTCACGGTCAAGATTTCTCCACATGCTTCGTTTTTTATTGATAAAGAAAAATACGTAACTCTAAGCTATATCTGACATAATTCATGAATAATAAAACTTTTGATATGTTTCAGGCCAGATTGAACAACTCTGCCTTCAAGTCAATAATATCTCTGTGTTGGTTTTCCAGGTTGCACTCTGGGAGGACGCACGTATTCAGATAACGAGGAGATAGAAGTAACCCAGGCAGACCCGTGTGTTCAGTGCAGCTGTAAAGTGAGTTTCTGAAATACCTTCCTACACAGTGTATTCTAGAACAATATTTGGGTACCATATATGTCATATCAAATTATCACCCAAATACTTCCCCCCTCCCTGTGCATCAGCGGTAAGTTTAGAGATTTGAAACGCTTAAATCCGGGTTCGATTCTCCACGGTGGACAGAGCGTAGATAACTTCACGTGTGGCTTTGTAATAAAACAAACAAAATTTAACATTTCAGTTGATGAAATCAACAGTTAGGTGGTTGTAGCGGGAAAAAGGTGTAATATTATGAGGAACCGGGTCCAAAGTAAAGATTAAACGCGGCTGTAAAGATAAAACAACTAAAGTAGATGACCCCAAATACATTATACGTGCTCTGAATTGCATATAAAAAATCATGTATATATTCCTTCGTAGAATAAGTATTCTGAAAACAATGTAAGTTTTCTAAATTAAAGTAGAATTCAAGTATCGTAATTCATACTTTTAGGTCCAGAGTTAAAAATCAAACGAATTATCATAATTTTTTTTTTATTTTGCTGTTATTGTAGTTCAATACCATAATACACAATGAGCTAGCTTTACACTGCCCGCTGCTGGTATCGAAACAGGATATTTAGCGTTGTAAGCTCTCAGACTTATTGCTGATCCACTGGGGAGCGATTGACCTCGGGTTGTTTATACACATGCCTTGTTTTACCTTTGCAAATATTTAAATGAAACTATAAATAACAGATTGCAAGAATAATCAGATATTAATAAGAGAGTTTTACGTTACTGTAACGTGCTGTAGTGTTTTCTAAAGGTATAAAAAGTAGTTAACATGAATTCACTGTTCGCTAACCGTTGGTGTAAAAAGGTGTTCCCCACTGACGATCAAGTCCCATTATTCGATCAGACAACAATAGCCCAGTTATTAACGGTGGATGCTGTCGACTATCTGCTTTACCTCTAGTTTATCAGTTCAAAATTAGGGATGGCTGCGCAGAGATAATCTTTTGTGGTTTGTACGAAATTCTGAAACAAACAAACTATGTGAACCAACTAATAAGACAGATGCTCCAACTTCAAAAAGACATGTCATTAACTCTTGAAATCATTGATGCTAACCCTCACCGGTAATATACAACACTAACGACAAGACATGCCATTAACACTTGAAATCATTGATGCTAACCCTCACCGGTAATATACAACACTAACGACAAGACATGCCATTAACTCTTGAAATCATTGATGCTAACCCTCACCGGTAATATACAACACTAACGACAAGACATGCCATTAACTCTTGAAATCATTGATGCTAACCCTCACCGGTAATATACAACACTAACGACAAGACATGCCATTAACTCTTGAAATCATTGATGCTAAACCTTACCAGTAATATAGTAATGACAAGTATACACATCTGTAATGACATGTACAGGATTTTTCAATGAACGATAAGCAAAACTTAAGCTGTATAAATGCCTAAGTAAAACAAGTAGCATACAATATTCTAATAAAAAGAACCGTGATATATCTTGGATAGCTGTTATATAATATTCAAATCAGTCAAATTTTATTAAATTAAATTCAGCTTAACTCAGCCGCAGTTTACAAATCCGATATTATGTAAAATTACCTGAGAATTAATCGTTAGTTCTAAGTTTGTGTTGTACATATTCTTCAAGCTGCTGTTTTTAATACACTTGGAGTATTGAAGTAATCAAAGTTTTAAGTTATTAGGTCGTCAAGAACTTAAGGTGGTTGGGGCACTTGACTCGCAATCTGCGGTTCGCCGGTTCGAATCCTGTTCCCACCAAACATGCTTGCCCTTTCAGCCGTGGGGGCGTTATAATGTGACAGTCAATCCCACAATTCGTTGGTAAAATAATAGCCCAGGAGTTGGCGGTGGGTGGTGTTGACTAACTGCCTTCCCTCTAGTCTTACACGGCGTAATTGGGAACGGCTAGCGCAGATAGCCTTCGTGTAGCGTTGTGCGAAATTCATAACAAACAAACAAACAATAATTTAATGCCGCGTTTTGGAACACTTTCATTAATCACCGCCCCCCCCCAATATATATTACGTATACTAGTTAAACGAACCGCCTAAACTTCACGTTAGTGTAGCCTATACAATGTGTAAAGTTTAGTATACTCTAATCCTTATAGTGATGGTACACGAGACACACATTCGGCATGGCATGTAATGCTGTTTGAATATAAGAAGGGAAACAACGCCTCTGTAGCCACAAAGAATATAAAATAAGTTTATGGAAATGTTTTGAACGTTCGCAAGCGTCAAAGATGGTTCAGAAAATTTCTTTCAGGTGACTTTAGTCTTAAAAACTGTGATGGCAGGCGCCGACATGTTGGAATTGATACTGATGTTCTG